CTCTAGGTGAGATTCTTGTCCTCAAGCAACAACAGGTTGTGCAAATGTTGGTATGTTCCAATGGAGGATATTACAGTGAGGCCATTTGAACTTGCTGCCTGATTGCAATATCAGCATCACCTATTCTTTCCCTAGTTGAATAACTATCAGGTGCTGCCATGGGTTTTTGTTAGTGGGAATTCAAATCAGTGTGGTACACTGGTTTATGTCAATGCTTATAGGTACTGTAAATTCAAGTTCAGTCATATTGTTTGTTCTAAGCACAAGAAAAATAACTAGAAATTCGCGAAAGATGGTGCTTAATTGTACTTCCCAAAAATGTTTTTCTTAGGAGATACTATAAAAGGATGTCTCAGGCTTAGAGCTGCTGGGTTATGGTGTTCAAAAATCCTTTTGCAACCCATTTAAGGATAAGCCTCAGAATAAAAAGGAACTGAGGAAATTAGATTTACTAATTTAATATAGGAGCATGTGTAACAGTTCAGTGAAAATTCACTACAACATATAATCCTCAAATCACTTGGCAATACACAGTATTGCATGCAGTATCTGCCAACTAAGAGTTAAGTAACAGTTTCTATAACAAGTAGGTGGTATTTAATAATTCAAGAGATCATGAATAGCTTTAAACAAGAAATAGGATGATTAGACATTAAACTGGACACATATGGTATCAGCATCCTGAAGGATCAATACAGGTCAGTGTTTGCCCTTTCTCTCATGGTATTTTAGATTGAGGCCATAAGAAAAGTGCTGAATGGTTTTGCACCTGTAGATAATGTCTAATGCCTATATTTCATTGGTTTAATCTACGAAACACATATTTAAACTCTTAGCAATCCATTAACCCTGATATATATTGGAGGCAAAATTAAGCAATTTGACCAGCTGTTTCCAAAAGCCCGCAGTAGTGACATTGTGACATCTATTGTGATGCTGCTCTTCTCTGTTCCCTTAACTGGTGCTGGGCATGGCATCAAGTATGACCTAGGAGTATAGCATAATCACTGTTTCTTCAGGACTTGTTACAATTGCATGAATTTATTATGGGAAAAGAATAAAGGAAGTTAGATGTCAGAAAGTTGTAAGGACTGTTTTGACTTATGCTATTGTAACTTAAGATTGTATTTTAAAACTTAAGCCTGTAAGACTGTAAGGATAAATCCTTATTCCTTTGCAAAGAATAGGTACATGGAGAAATTAAAGTAGATAGGTAGGTATACTCCTGTTAATAAACATGTTGGCTTCTTGCCTTTTGCATAAGGGTGTGCAGGACATAGGACTAAATACCTATTAAAAAAAAGGTAATTGTTCAGGTTATGAAAGTGGTGCTTCAGAACACTTTTTGTTTCATGGGGAGGGAAAAGCTGTTTAGGCTTTGAGTAGAGGAGAAATATACCAGAGCTAAAATATGCATGTATAAAGGGTAAAAAACCCAACAAAATAAACAAAACCTACTCCCCAGCTGAGCTGCACTCTGAAGTGGCTGAGGACAAACTCTGTTAAGTGCTTTTCAAGTCAGGTGGCAGTCTATAGTGTAACCAGAAGGTTTTTAAGATTGAAGGAGTCTTGGAAGTTAAACAAGCAGCCTCGAATGATGTAGCGTAACAAGTGTGGCATTTTCTGTTTAAATTCATCTTGTCTTTTTTTTTTTTTTTTTTTTTTTGGCTTATTTTTTTCTTTTTCTGTAAAGTGATCCCACAATAAACAGCATTGAGGAATGTGACTTCGTGAATGTGTACTATAGGTCCTTAAAAATAGAAATTATCCCTGGAACTCTTAGATAAAACCAAAGAAACAAGAACAAAATGTGCCTTTGCACATGAGACGGGTATGGGAAAACTGGAAGAAGTTTCTGCTTGCTTGAACTGCTTCACCCATTTTTCTCCCCATTAGTTGATAGCAGAAGTGGTTGTTAAGGCACTGGAAAAGTGGACTTTGCCCTGGTCTGTCTCTTAAAAACACTTAGTTCCTCTCTGGAAAGCACAAGTTAGTTAAATCACAAAGGGAAAAATCTTGCTATTTCTTTACCTGATGAAGGAGTTTTGTGAATAGCTGTGAGCTTTGTAAGTGTTACTGTGACTTTAAGGTGACATTAAAAACAGTTAAATTGTTTGCTCATGGCATTTCTTCAAAAAAAACTATTATAAGTAACTCCTTCCCCCTTTCCCTGTTCTTGGTTCCAGGGAATGCTAAAGAGAGGAGTGACTTGGCATAGTTTTAAGTCTAGATTGAAGCATGTTGAATAAGTTTGTCCCATGGGAGAATTAAAAAAAATGCAGCAGATGGCAGCAATGATGCATCAAACTTCCTATCCTTAGGAACAGTGTAGCTGCAGGCACTTTCAGGCTTCATGCATTGGATAAACTGGGGGTGGCAGGATAGTCTTCCTCTGTTCTTACTTTGCAATTTCGAAGCCGACTGTGCTGAGGAGGGCACGTATTTTCTAGCCAATTCAGCAGTATTCTTCTGTGGCCACAGTTAGTGGAGTATTAGTTGCCTTAAGGTGCACAACCAGAGGAAAAATAGCACTGAATTCAATGTACATCTGAAAGAACATTTGAAATAGAGTTTAAGGGTCTATCTTGTCTTACGCTCAGAATTCTGTGTTTTCAATATCTTTTAAGTAAGAGAGTAGAGTGGTGCTGTAGTTGTGCAGTCTACAGGCTCTGAAGAATGAGGTCCAAATTTGAAATAATAGCAGTGAATTTGTGAGAAGGTCTGAGTGATGTGAGATAATGTAAAGGCAAATAAGAACAACTCCATTTACAGCAGAAAAAGGTTGCTGGGTATTTTCAGCTTTTTTATTGTTTTTTTCTTTTTGAAGAAGCAGAACCACTTTTTTTAGCAACTAAAAAGACTTAAAGTAATAGAAATATTTCATTATGTAAATACATATGTCTAAAAATGCTTTAGTTGTCATAAGGTCGGAAGGAAGTCTGTTTATGTACATCAGTGAAAACTTATACTGGGGACAGACTTCTTTGGAAGAGGAGTAGCATTTAGTCAATAATTTTAAATATTTTTGAGGATTTTTTTAAAAGGATACACAAATTTTTTGGAGGTTAACTATAATTAATCCTACCACAGTACCATGAGGTGCCTAAATGATCTTGAGGCCCCCTCCAGTGCTATAAGTCACTGAGGGATTATGGTTTGGTTTTTTTTTTTCATGCAGATAACAAATTTAAAAAAAAAAAAAAGCCTTGGAACAGAATTAGCTTCTGATAACGTACAATGACTGCTCAATGGAATACATGAGGTCTTATCTATCTTTAGCCTGTTTTTCCTAAAGAAGTAATTGTGGTGTAGGTTCAGCTCTGGGGGAAGGGAGGAGATGGAGAAAATGGTCCGAAATGTGTTTGATTTAGACATGAGATTTAAACATGTGAAGCCAGAATGCTTTTATCCTTATATAGGAAGTGGGAGTTACATTAAATATGAAGGCAGGTAGTTTCTGGCACACATGGACGTTGTGAAAGATGTCATTTAAATATTTTAGTGATTTGGATGAACGGAACTCTCCAGGAAATCAAACAGTAGAAGTTCATAAGACTTGGTAATACATGTAAACAGACTGTAATCTCATTAGAATTATTTGACTTGAATGTTACAGTGCATATGATGAAATACTGAAACATTGCTCAGCAACTGGGATTTGGACTTTGAGTGGCAATGACATATGAAACCCCTGCATGGTTTTAAAGTGTGCTATTTTTGGCAGTTGGGTGTTGGCTTGTCTCCTCAGTAGCCATAGAAAGCTAGTTTAGTGTAAGAGGAAGGTGATTTGCAATGAGAAGACCCTCTGACACTACTTATTAAACATGGGCTGCTGCTTCAGTAAAGAATTGAGTAACAGCACGAATGAGGAGAAAACCAGCTTGTTACAAAAATCTGTGGAAGAGGAAGCACCAGAGTCAAGGATAAGTAAAACTTTATCTTCAATTTTTGGAACTGTGAAAAGCCAGGATCTGCATACAGTGGGAAGGACAGTTAACGGGGCGGCTGCGACAGTCGGCAGTGAATGCGTTTGTAGCGATGATTGCGCAGCGTCAAATTCTGAATCTGGCTTTTTGGGTAGAAGAGGGAAATATCCATCATATAAAAGCATGGGGAATACTCCCCATGAGAGCTCTAGGAGGACATATGACAGACCTTTTAGCTTCTTTAATTCCTTTAGTCACCTCTTGAAAGTCTCTGGTACATATGGAAATCTGCAGAAAAGTGAAGAAAAGAAAGACAGGGTTATTAAAAAAAGAGCACCTAAAAAATCTAATAACAATGGTCAGCACATGAACAATATAGAAAACATTAATAGTAATACTAATAACGAAAATGTAACTGTACAAGAACATTGCTTATTTGATCATATTTCAAATTCACATGTACCAGACATCCTGGACAAAGGGTTACAGAGTGGAATTTCCTTAAATAGAAATTTTCTAGAGGATTATGCAGTGACGTATGACCATTCAAGGCAAAATGAAACAACAGTAAACGATAAAGACAGCAAGAGTGACAGCCTACAGAAAGTTTCAAGTTCATATAGAGAGGTGCCTCCAACACTTTCCTATCTTGATGTAGACAACAGTCAAAATGTGAAAGACAGGGAGTTTTACAGTATTTGTGTTGTAGATGCCGAAGATCTGACAGGGGACGAAGAGGTGCCAGCTACTGTGCATGAAGAGAGTGCAGCAGACATAGATAACTCAGCTGTTACTGATGAAGGAATGTGCACCATGGCACGACCTCTAGACACTTGGAAGGAACTTCCAGTGCAGCGATTGGCACAAGTGGAAGCTAAGTTTAATTCACAGGAAGAACTGTTTGAATATAAAAAAGAGGATAGGCCAAACATGCAGAAAAAGGGCACAAGCGAATATTGTAGCATAGACATCCAATCTTTTGATAACTTACTGACTGACAGGTGTCAGGTGCATAAGTTAAATACTGACAATACAGTAACAGATGTCTTAAGAGCAAAAGTATCTGATGAAATCATCCCTGAGAATCAGCAAGAGGAGGTGTATTCCATAGGTAGTGCTGTCAGTTGGAATGAATCACTCCATACAGCTTGTAATTCTGTGAAGGCTGTGGATGCTGCTGAAAAGGACCACTACAGCCCTAACTCAGAAAAGGTGAAACACAGTGATTGTATTTCCAGTGTCTTATTAGACACTGGATTATGTAATTCAGGAAAAACTGAGGGAAGTAATCATTCTGATATTGTACCACTTGGTTTAAGTGGGCGTCCCTCAAGTGTTGTAGAGCAAACAAATACTAAACAGATGGTAGAGAACATGAGGGGTAACTTTAAATTATCATTAGAGTTATGTGAAATGGACAATGTAGAAAAACTTGCTGAAAAAGTCTGCCTTCTAGAGCCAGAAAGTGAAGTAAACTCAAATGTGGAAAAGAAAACACTTGAAAGAACTCATGGTGACAGCCAAATGTTTGCACCAGACTGTAGTGAACATCACAACAGTTTTGAAGAGTCCTTGAAAGATGGAGAGAAATGCACAGGTACAATTTTGCATAGCTGTGAAGCTTTGAATACGACTGAAATGCACAAAACCTTGGAGGAAAGTTCTGATTTTCAAACTCAAATTAAGGGCTGCACTGAAATCAAGACATCAGCTGAAGCTGCAGACCATGGTGGCACAGAGGAAGGTGTCTGTGAGCGTGTCACTGGTGACTTGACTGAGGAAGCTGGTAACTTGAGCAGAAGTAGCCCGTGGGTAAGTGCTGGCACTTTGACATCTCATGAACAACATAACCCACGCACAGATGACATGTTCCTAAAGGAAAACAGCCTAGAATGTCAGGTTTCACAAGAGTCACCAGGGAGTAAAGGTAAAGTATGCAAATATTCAAATTCAGATAACAGTGTGCCTGTGGAATGTGAGGATATGAATAAAATAGACATGAACTGTAGACGAGATGAACAGGATGCATGTTTCTTCCACGCAGTAGAAAATCAATTGAGTGCAGGGACAGAGTCAGCCAAAATAGCTGAGGATGTAGTAGAATCTGTAAAACAGACAAAATTTGAAGTTCACTTAAATGAGTCCATTGATAACAATGCAGAAATTATAAAACCAAATTTGAATGCTGACGTTGTTGATTGTGATAAAGGCATCTTCAACTGCAATGGAGGCTTGGCTCATAGTCAGAACGTTCCCTCTGACTCCACTGAACCTGCAACCATGGACAGTTGTATGTACAAGAGCATAAAATTAAAAGATGACACTAAAAATCTGGAAGATACCAATCATCTCTTACATAAAGCCCATAATTGTTTACCATCATTGGGTCAAAATGCATGTTCTCATGTGCATGACAAACCAGTGGAAGAGCCTGAGTTACGTCACTGTGCCAGTCCAGAGCCAGAGGTCGGGAACACCGCAGTTTCTGTTGTGTCTTTTACTGAAGAAAGATCAGAAACTCTCGAAAAAAGTATGTGTGATGTAAATGAATGTAATCTTCAGGATGGTGAAGTAAAACAGTGTGTCAGTACCCACTCAAAGCAGCAGAACCTCACTGGTTTTAGTATATCAACTGGGAATATAGAACCTTTTACCAGCGGGAATTTGAAGCTGTTAGAAGCCAAGACTACTGAATTGAAAACCAGCAGTTACACATTAAATCGTCAAACAAATGACTTGACCACAACCTGGGAACAGATGCAGCCAGATCACAAGATTTTCTCGAACAAAGAGCTTGGAGTTTGTATTGACCCAAAGCAGGTAGACAAATACGCTGCTACTCCTTCCTATGAAATACAGAGTGCCACTCCTCTTGCCGCAGGATTTCAGCAAGGCAGTGAGCAGTGCGTGTTAGATCTGATGGAAGATGGACCCAGTGGCCAAGAGCAGCACTCCTATGAACTGGACAGACAAAATCCCCATGTTGGAATGTGGCCACATCTCATCAGTCTTCAGACTGGCAATGATGATTGGACAAATCAGCTGTTTTCTGACACGGTTCCTGCTGGTAATGGTGAATATCTGGTGGGCTTTTTATGGAATAATGCAGTTTCTAATGATACCATGAAGAATGACAGACTTTGTATAGTTAGTGAAAACTTCCAGAATGAACCTGAAGATTTAACAGGTGCTTCATACGCAGTGGAAAGATACCCATATCAACTGCTAGCACCAGAAAATGCTGGTACTTGGGGATGGCAAAATAAAGACGAATTTGTAAGTATTCTGCAGAAGTGATTTGATGTTAAAGCTTAAAGCTGAAGCTAGAAGTTTGACTAAGCCAAGTCAAACTGTGGTTTCTTTAGTTAAACAGATCATGTTATTTTGTCCTGAAGCTGACTGTTCCCTTTCCTTTTCAAAACCAAATGCTGTACAGAATACAGAAGTTCAAAATATTGCTGAATATTAATATATTTTTTTCTTTTTGTTTCTGTGTACTTTGTGTGAAAGTTTAAACGTTGGGCAAAGTGACTTGATTGCAGATTCTCAGTTCCAGATGAACTCGAGATAAACACTTCAGTGTGGGAAAGGAAGCTTTCTGCAGACTGTTAGTAGTACTCTTTACCTTAGTATAGGAAGAAATGTTTGTGGATTTCCTGAAGTTCTTGTTTGGTAGCAACTAGGAAATATTTGCTCACTTCTGGAGGTGATCTTCTGAAGTGTTGGAGAAAGGAGTGGCTCCAGGAGAAGTGAGGGGAATGAGCTGGGCTGGATCTTGGAAAGCTGGGATAGGAAACAAATGAAGCCGTCGGGACAAAGTCCTGAGTAACGAGCCTCTGGGGGCCCTGCTTGAGCAGGGAGGTTGGACTGGATGACCTCCAGTGGTCCTCTCTAACCTTACTCACCCTGTGAAAGCCAACCTGCAGCAGCTGCTGCTCCTTTTCCTTCCCTGCTGAGCAGAGGCAGTGCTGGATATTGTTCCCCTCACTGACTGTGTTGGAGCAGTTGCTCTGACCTTGCCCAGCAGTTGCAGTGTGGGCAGTGGGTTGAACTTGGGGCTGTTTGCTGTCTCCTGGGGGAACTTTGTATATTAAAAGTGGAACTGATGGAACTTGCTGTCATCTCTGAATAGTTACTATTCAGGTAGTTATGTCAAATACTTCCACTTTTTATAAGTCTGTCACTCAATAGATGTGTTTAAGTTGAGATTTTTTAGATCTTTTTGCTTTCTGGATATATTCTACACACTGTGATAATAACTATCTGAGTGCATGTGTTTAAGAAGATTTAAAGCTTCAGGGAGTTTTGGAGTGCCTGTCTTAAATGCTGCAATGTGCCTAGAATTCATAAATTCACAAAACAAATTTTCAATGAGCTTTTTTAGTGTGTCTTAATATGATCCTCTTTCCCAGTATAATTATATTAAAACATTCCAAGTATATTCTTTGTATGGAATAATTTAATGCATTTTGCTCAAACATTAGCAACACAAGAGAAAACTTTCTCATGTAACTATCGAAAAAGTATTGTAGATGCTTGCACTGCAGAGAGCAATCTCTCTGAAGCACAGATATAATCATTTATGTGATGGTTGTATATAACCATATATAATCATTAAATGTGTGCATTTCCAATCCAGGTTAAAGGAGATTGTCTTGATGATTTAACTGGATCTGATAATTCAACCCTTCTGTCCTAATGGACTGTTCCTCCTCTTGAAGTAATGACAGAAGTTGTCATGCACATCTGATTGCTTTCAATTTTCCATAATGCTCCATCAAAAATGTTACATATTTATATAAGTTCAGAAAAAAAAACCCTTCTATGTTGGTATTTTCTTGATTATTTTTTTCTTTAATGTTATTTTGCAGAAACAGATACAATACCTATATAGTCAACATCAGGTAGACATGTATATTAGAGAACTGCCTGAAGTCTAGGTCAAGTATGGGTTTGAAATGTTTGTTGTTGTTTGCTGTGCTTGGCTAACCTTTTCTGATGATTCTTAATCAGGGAAATGAATTCCATGCAGCACAATTCAATTGGTTTTGTACCTGAAATGATTATGGGAATTCAGTTAATATATTCAGATGTGAAAAAACTTGACAGTACAGTCTTGAGTTGCATGTCTAATACTGTTATTTGAAACTGTACAGATGCATGCTGTGCATCCACAAAGTGCATAATCAATTTCTTTTTGTAGGAGTCAACCAAGGTTTCCGAGTTAAACCCTAATGCAAAGGTGTGGGGAAATCATATGTTACACTTGGAAGCAAGTGGTGCCACTGATGGTAGTGTGAGCAAAACGTGGGAAGAAATACCTGACCAGCCTCCAGATTCTTGTAAAGAAGGTATGAACAACATTTTCTATCTAGCTCAAACAAAAGTTAAAATTCAGTGCAGAATTTTCTCAATTTTAATTTTCTGTTAAAAAAAATAAAACAAACACGTAAGCAACTTTATTTCAGATTTAGTTGTAACTGTGAAGTCACAGTGATTAGAAAGAATGCTTTTTGAGTGTTTGTCATCCGTGCTGCAGGACTGGATGCCAACGGTGATGGCGACAAAAAGCATCAGAATGCAGTGCTGACAGAGCTGCCAGAGCCGTCACCAGCTGTTTCGGTGTCAGACCAGACAGATATGAACCCTTTGGCTCTCGATCATTCTGAGTATGAGTCTATGCATGAAACCACCCAGACAGGTAAGAGAAAGCTAGTATTTGCTTGGGCTTAGTTTAAAAAAAGCAAAAACAAACATGTATTTTGAGTTGAACAGTGAGCATCTAAAAAACCCCCAAAAGCCTCCCCAAACCACGCCACTTTTGTTGCTCAAGATTTGCATGCTGTAAACAGACCCTAGAAAATCCTGTCTCTTCTGCAATCACACTTAGACATGTTTGGAGACCGGTCTCATCCTGGTATAAGTCTTACGAGGTGCTGCACAAATGTTCTGGATTTAACTGAGTATTTTCTGGAATGTGATTCTGAATGAAAATCCCTAGTGTAGACATTTACATTTGGATATCTACCTCTTTAAGCTGCACGTTTCTCGTTGGGTCAGGTGGTGAGGTGGGATTCACATAGCGTTTGTGTCTCAAGTAGTAATGTTAATGTGTGGAAAGACCAGTCTTGTACTTGAAATGCTAAAATAGGCAACATTTTAGTCTAACTTCATTGCATTCTTATTTAATGAACTTTCAGGGGGTTTTTTCAGTGCAACTGGTAGTAGCTGTAGTCTATACCAGATGGTATGTTTTAAGAAGTTTCTGGAAAGTAGTGTAGAGATTCAGCGTGCTTATATTTCACTGAAAGGGACAGAAGGTCTGCAAGATGCATGTGGGATTACTACTTGAACTGAGGGATGGGAAGGAGAGGAAAATGTGCTGGGTGTTTCTTGAGATTCACGGGAGGTCTGTTCCTTGTTCATTGTGCTTAGCTGATTTTATAACATGCACTTAAAATTACCAGTATAGCATCCATAATAGCTGGAAATCAAAACAAGTAAAATCAGACATGGTCGTGGGATCATCCTTGCTTATGCTGAAAAACTGAAAGTTCTCTTTGACTCTTCTACTTAAGGGTACTATTGGGGAATATTAAGTAATAACTAGATGGCAAGTAGAAAGTTGTATTAAAGGTGCCTCACAGTCTAGAAGGGAATGGTGCTCTTCAGATTAGTGTTAAAAGTTGTCAGTGTGTCCTTTATGTGCCCAAAATAGTTAACTTTTAACAAGAGTCAGATAGTGTTGTAAGCAGCTGAACAGCGCATTGGATCTGTTCCACCTGGTGAATAGTGAGTGACACAGGTGGTCCCAAGTCTGAAATCTGATTTTTAATTTAATAATTATTTTTTAAAATGCATATAATTTTGGTCCTTGCTGGCTTTTGGACAAGAAAGAAAGGGGATATGGGGAAGGAAAATAGAACATAAGTGTATTTCTCAGGTGTTGACCTTATCTTGTTCAGAGTAGAACATGTGAAGGACAGCGTGGTGGGAGGAAATTAGAAGTTGCTTTAGGAAGAAGAATGGTTAAGGAAAGCTGAAGAAAAGGATGAAAGTTACTGAAGGGAAGGGTATAGAGGACATTAGTATATTGGGTCTAAATAAAATGAACATTAAATCAATGTTTTCCATGTGATGATAATTTTGAAACTCCGAAGTATAAGAAAAAAATTAATTTTGCCTTCTTAACCAAAAGATTGTCAATTACACATGTGTTGCTAGTAGATTGTATATCTGTTGATGTTTTATAACCTCATTTTTGGAACTCTTTTCTGAGTTAGTGTATCGCTGATTTTGAGTGAGGCCTGAAGTATGGAGTGCCTTCATTACGTTGCTCTCTTGCTGCATTAGTCAGGGTTTAGTCAGCTAGAAAGAGGTTAGTTTCCTGAGAACGGGGGACAGGTCTACAAGCTAAATCAGTTCAGTATTTACTTTGAGATGGGCTTGTAGCTGTTCTTCTAAAATGCTTCAGATTTTCATGTATTTGGAGAACAGAGGTTAATAAGTGAAGTCAGACAGGTTTTCTCTTTTCTGTCTTAAATAAAAAGTGTTCCCATGCAGTTTTGGTGGTCGGTGAACTAATACATAATGAACATCTGTTGAATCTGAAAATTTGTTATTAGTTATATAGTGACTAATAGACATGACGGTTTGATTAAAATATCTGTTGTGTAATACAACAGAACTACATTTTAATCCGAAGTATTTTAATTACTAGGTGGAAATGAACAGTTGCAGCCAGAAGGTCAGGAAGATTTACGAGAATTACTGAAAAAGACACTGGAATTCTGTTTATCTAGGTATGTATATACGTAAATGTAGCAAACTGGAGGATAACCAACAAGACCTAGTACCTAACTTGGGATGTGTGTTAATATATTTTTCATCTGTCACTTTAGTTTGAAGTGGGAAGGATGAGAATTTGGGGAAATTAACATGCTAATTTCAGAGTATCTATTGATATACCTCTTAAAGCTTACATGAAACTTAAACATGAAACCTACAGCATAAACTAGCAAATATGTTGATTTGAAGTGAGAGTAGCTATGAGCAATTACAGATCAGATGAATTTTTATGACCTTTACTGGGGTTTTTTGTTTTTGTTTTTTTTTTCAAATTAAAGCTGAGAAACTTAAGCTTTATTTAAGCCAATGATTTTAATTAGTTAGTGAAAATGCTGAAGGAATCTGCCCTCTACTATGTGATGAGTTTTTGTTTCAAGTTGTATCTGTGACACTTGTCCATTTTTATTTTTTTTTCTCCCAACAGGGAAAATCTTGCCAGTGACATGTACCTTATATCACAGATGGACAGTGATCAGTATGTGCCAATAATGACAGTAGCAAACCTTGATCATGTCAAGAAACTCAGTACTGATATGGATTTGATTGTTGAAGTGCTGAGATGTAAGTAAAAGCTCCTCCATTTCAGAAAGCATTTTGGTTATTGCCATAGGACTATTAATCTGAATTTTCAATCTTTCTTTTTTAATGTATTGCAATAATAGGCCGTTATTTTTCTGTAAAGCATTACACAGCCCAAACAGCTTCCAGTTTAGACCATCACAGTTATAGAACTGTATTTTTATCAAAGCTACTTCATATTGCAGGTATTGGATAATGATCTGTGCAAATAAGAATAATGTGAGTTTAAATTGTGGGATATGGTGGGACAACTCACGTAATTGGAGGATCACAACGAATGTCTCAAAGCTGTTTTGTAAAGATAGGTGGGGAAGAAGAGATGGAGAAGTCACTCTCTTTTAAGCAGAATCTTGAATGTATAGAAGTCAACTACATCAACTGGAAGCTCTGTGCAATACCCCTGGGTCAAGATCAGAGGGGTTATCTCCAAGGGAGATCTTACAATACCTCCAAACCAAGACAATAAGATGAACAAAGCAATATTTGGGTCACTTAAGCAAGTTTTGGATCAGCCAAACCTGGTTCTTACAGGTGACTTCAACTTCTCAGACATTTGTGGGAAGAACGATACAGCAGCTCATGTCATCCATCAAATTTCTGGAATGTGTAGAGAATTGTTTTCCCATACAAGTGTTAGATGTGCCGACCAGGAATGAGGCACTGCTGGACTTGCTACTCAGAAACCAAGAGAACCTGCTTTGTCATATCTCAGTGATAGCCTTGGCTGTAGCAATCACAGCACTCTGGGGTTTGGGGTCATGCTGACCACACTGAGGGTTGGCACTCAGGTTTTAGATTTTAGAGAAGCAAACTTCAGCTTGCTCAGAGCACAGTTAGGAGAGGGATTCTGTGGAAAGCTTCCATGGAGGATAAAGGAGCTGATGAGTGCTGGGAGTTCTCTCCTGGAAGCACAAAAACATTTCATTTTCTTTAAAGGTAAGGAAAGTAGGTGGATCAAGAGACCCCCTTGACTTAACTCTGTGCTTCTAAGTCTGCTCAAAACCAAGAGAGAGGCATGCCAGAGACAGAGGAGTGGATGAATACCTGTTGAGAGCTACAAGGGCATTGCCAGGGCGCACAGAGATGCAGTTAGAGAAGCAAAAGCTCAACTCAAATTGAATTTGGCCAGAGATGTCAAAAACTACAGGAAAGGGTTCTTCAGGTATGTAAACAGTGAACAGAAACAGAAGGAAAATATTGACCCTGTGTTAAACAGGAGAGGTGAACTGGTCACCAATGACACTGAAAAGACAGATTCTTAACATTTTCTTCACCTCTGCTTTTACCAGCACTGATGGGCCCCAGACCTTGGGAACAGGTTGACCCAGGTTGATGCACTGTCTGTGAAGGAAGAGTTGATGTGTAAATGATTTCAGGGGCTCGACCCCTACAAATTGATGACCCTGACAAATATCCGTCCGTAGGTGTTAAGAAAGTTGGCTGACATCATTGTGAGACCACTTTCCATAATTTCTGAGACACTGTGGAGATTAAGGGATGTCCCAGAAGAGTGGAAGGCTTATGTTACCCCCATCTATTAGAAGGGCTTTAAGGAGGACCCAGGAAATTACATACCTGACAGTCTTACTTCATTTCCTAGGAAAGTTATGAAACAAATCCTCTTGGGGACTATCACAGATCAAATGAAGCACCTGGTTGTAAAAAATCAGCATGGGTTCACCAAGGGCAAATCGTGCTTGATAAACCTTCTATGACAAAGACCTTATTACCATGTTCTAGTATTTAAACTGTGGCTGCAAAGAACATAAAGACTCCTTTTATACAAAGAGTCATGTGGTAAATATGGGGGGTAGTGGGTCCAAGTTACTTCTTAGGAGATTCCAATTGGACACAAGAGGAACATTTTCCACAATGAGAACAATTAGTCGTTGGAATAATCTTCCCAGGGAAGTAGTGTGTTCCCCAACACTGGATACTTTGGAGATTCAGCTGGACAGGGAACTGTGCCATTCTCTCTAGACCGTGTTTTTGCCAAGAAAGGTTGCACCAGGTGGTCCAGAGGTCCAAGCTGGTATTCTGTGTTTCTGTGATTAATTTCTCAGAAAAGGCTGGTGGACATTACCACTAAGGTAAGAATCAAAAAAGAACATGACTGAACATGTGCTTTAGAAGAAAAAGCTATTGAATTGGGAATTTCTAGGCTGGAAGAGTGTGGAAATTATAAGGAACATGTCTACTTGGTTTCATATGTTTGAAAGTATTCTCAGTCATCATCTGCTCATTTCTTAGTGTTCGAAAATATTTGAAGCTTTGCATTGCATAACTGTGTCCACAGCATCTTTTGGTGTGCAAAGCTATTATGATTGCTGACCTCTGAAATACATTCTTGTCTCTTCTCTCTTAGCGTTGCCTTTAGTTCAAGTGGATGAGAAGGGGGAAAAAGTTAGGCCAAATCAGAATCGCTGTATTGTGATTTTACGTGAAGTACCTGAATCTACTCCCATTGAAGTAAGTGTTTCCTTGTTATGTAAAGAATACTTTTCCCTTAGGATTTGGAAGTTAGATTTCTTCTAGATTTCAATAAGCATATTACATTTCTCTCAGCATTTCCTAAGCTTAGTTTACTGTGTTAATTTGGAAAATAAATATGTTTGATAGGAGCATGTTGCTCATAGGAAGGCTGTGGTAGAACCTGTAGCTCTGCAGAGGACTGGGACACTGACAGTGCTGTCTTTGGTAGAGATGCCATCATTTTCTTGGGCACTGCCTTATCCATATGCACTTAGTGGATAAATAGCAAAAAAGATGAAGGAAGATAAGGCTTAGCCTAGAAAATGCCACTGTTGAACCTTGAAGCTTGTTCAAGTAAAGTACTTAAAGCTTTGCAAACACATCCATAATGCTGAGTTGAGAGCTGTAAATAAGTCACTTAAGGATCTCCACTGGCTTGTGGAACGAGGGCAGCAGTAGAGAACTTGATTCTTTAAAAGATCCTCAATGCAACTCTGATGTAGATGGGACTATGACTAATGGGAATATTAGAAAAGATTATGAGGCTGTAGATTAAACAATCTTGAATTTTCAAAAAGGAGAAGGCACAGATTCTTGATGATAGGTAGATATTTTATTTCCCCCTCTATTTAATTTTACAAGGAAGACTAAAGGTTCTGAAAGAGTTGCTCTTCTTCATAGTCTTCAGACAAAAATCAAAGTACTGCACTTTAAAAACTTACAACAAAAAAATAAGAGGCCTTAATAAATAGGAACATGATAAAATTAATTGGAAGGAAAAAGCTGGATATTTGCTATGTAGGTAGCTTAAAGGTAATAGCCCCTTCTAGCTTTCCAAGTGAAATGAAACCTTTCAAAGACTGCCTAGCTTTTAGTATTGTAGATTTTTTTTTTTTATAGATATATTTATTTTTGTTGCTGTCATCAGTTTGTCATGTTGGATGTGTTACCCCTGGGTGGTCATTCTTAAATGCTTCAGACAAAGTTCTGAGGAGTCTTTATTTTAAAAAGAGTTTAAGTGTTTTATACATTGTGTTTTAATTTGTCAGACAGAAAAAATCTAGACTTAACTGGCCAGATTTAATAGCCTACTTTTTCTGGTACAGCACTGTCAGGCTTTATTTAAGCAACAAAGTTCCAAGATACTGTAAAGGCCTCCCAAGTTGTGTTGCCTTTTGATGCTGCTCACCTCAACTCTGTGAGGAAAAACAAAAAATATGTAAATAAATTAAAATATAAAGTCTAATGTTTGTGTTTTCTCTAGAAACTAACTGATTGTGTTTGAGGTAACGTAAATCCTGTTTCAAATACGCGAATCTGTAGACATTTGAGTTGAAGCTTATCTCCAGGTTTCTGCTGAAAGGGCAGAATTCTCCTGTCCTGTGCCATATGCACAGGTTTTCGTGAGGCTCTGTGGTTTTAGGGACTGGAGAGAAATGGACATCTTTCTGTACTTGATGACAAGGTTAAATGTCTCTCTATGGCCTAAATAGTTTATCCCCCCATATTTAAAGGGAGCAGGCAACTTCTCTTCCATTATGGCCTTAGACAGTGCTTGTTTGAATTCCTCCTAGCTAGCAGGTAGATTGGAGAGAGATATTGCTGCTGCAGGTGTTCTGAACTCCTCAGTTCTGTTTTGTAAACCTGAAAGTACTTTCTCTCTTTCTTGCTTGGGAGTTCCAAAGTTTTGCACTTCAAATTGATATTTTCTTCTCTCCATCTTTTTTTTTTTTTTATTCCACCCTTCTCTCTACCTCGTTATCAAACCACTTTCTTCAGGAGGTTGAAGCACTTTTCAAAGGAGACAATTTGCCTAAGTTCATCAACTGTGAGTTTGCCTATAATGACAATTGGTTCATCACATTTGAATCCGAAGCCGATGCACAGCAGGTAACCCTATTTTTTGAAGCATATTAGAATGTAATAGTAAACAAGGATGAGATGAGGGTGAATTGACAGATCTTAAACAGTATTACAAATGTGTAACAATGAAAAAGAATAATACCCAAACCTCTAAAAACAGTAATGCTTCCCCTGAGCTAGTACTATCTACTACTAAACACAACTCTTAAGAGTTTTATCTTGTTCATCTTTATCTTTGGTGTCCTGGCCAAAGCTATGATTTTTTTGTACAGACAACATTGATATTTTGGGTGAACCATTGAAATGCTTCAGTCATTAAAGTCTTATTTTAATGCTACTGAAGCACTTCTGCAGTGATAACTTAAATTTTGATGAACGCAGATTATATATGAGTTTTCTATAGTGCAACATTAGCAGACACTCCAGGAATTATTAGTAGACTTAGCCTACCAATGTAAGTCTTACCAAAATGTAGGTTTCCTGTGTTTAAATTATATGTGACAAATAAGATAATTACTTTTTTTAAAGGCTTACAGATACCTTAGAGAAGAAGTGAAAACTTTCCAAGGAAAACCAATTAAGGTAAATAGAACTTTATGGGGTTTGGGGGGAAGCTTGTGGGTATTTTCTGGTTTTTGTGGCGTTCACTGTGTTTTCTAATATAAATTTAAGTGGTGCAGTCTCAGGAGCCACGTGACCTGGAGTTAGGTTTTGAAATGTAGCACATACAATGCTACTTCTCCTTTTCCTCCTTTCTGACGTTGGCATATCCAGCCCAGCATCAGGCAGCAGGGAAGCATTGAGCTGTTCCTGCTGTCCTTGAAGGAGAAAGCAGTTACTGACAAGTGTCCATTTAAAATTTGAGAGCTGCTGGTTTGAACCATCCTGATATAATTGGAAAGGCTGCTGTAGTAAATAATCTTATCTCCTTTACAGGCAAGGATAAAAGCAAAGGCAATAGCTATAAACACATTTTTGCCAAAGAATGGATATAGACCTCTGGATATGAACCTCTACACGCAGCAGCGTTACACAACATCCTTTTACATACCTCCAGTATACAGTCCCCAGCAGCACTTCCCATTGTACAGCTTAATTGGCCCACAGACCTGGTCAGCCACACACAGCTACCTTGACCCTTCATTGGTAAGTCTCTTGATTGTGAAGCAGTTCTATTCTTTTCAAAGTTTGGTACCATTTTCTTACAAAGTACTGTGGTGTAGGAAGCATATGTGTCCTGAAAAGGGGAGCTTAAGATTTGAGTTCTTCTTGAAAAACAGTCCTTCAGAATCCTTCCCATGGTGTACAAAGATGGATTATTTGAAAATTGTATGTGGTCTCAGGCTGGAGTGTGATTCTTTTTGAGGCAGTTCTTTAGTAAAGATTATTAACTAAGCATTACCAAAAGAAATCTTAGTAAGAATTTCTTCTAACAATGGGTTAAAGCTTCTTTAGAAATTAGATCTTCAGAATATGTATGTGAATACCAGAAAAAGCAGATCTGATATGTACAGAATAAACTTAATGGAATCAGATAGATAAGGATAATGTGATATCTTGATCTTCTAGCAGGAAATTAGGCTCTAGGTTGACATGCTGAATTATGCTATTTGTCATGTTCTTAAAGCAAAATATTTTCTGTGCAAAAGTAACATGTCTTTTGGCAATAAAAAAATAAAATTACTTTTGCCAATTACAAAGATCACTTTTAAATTATCTTTTTTTAAAAAAATTTTCTTAAGGAGGCTATTGGTAAGCCTTAAAGCTAGAGTGATAGGAATAGTCCTTATATATTCTAATGGGACACCCTTTTCATCCTGCAGTCCTGCTTCCATCTTCTCCATTGTGACAGTCCCATCAGAATCACCTTGGCCTCTTTTAGTCTGCCTTTGTTATTCTACAAAAACTAACAGGAACATAGTTTCCTGTAATGACTGGGAGACTAAGGGTTCCTAGCTGGAGCCTCTTTCTTTGCTCTGGAAATGCCTTTTTACCTGCAGCTTAAAGAAACAAGGGTAGCAATGCTCAAAATTAGAAGTTCTTTAAAGGTTTTTTGGCAGGGGATTAACATGTCCTTAAACAAACTTATGCAAACTTCTTGTGTTCTGAATAGCAAGCTAATTAAAAAGTTGGTGTGCTAAAGACTTCACAGGCAGGGAAGGTAACCAGAGCCCTTGAAGGGAAGGCAAAAGCTACTTCCTTGGTAAGCAGCAATGAATGTGAATGTTCTTCTAGATAAACTAAGACTGACTACTGCAGTCTTGCTGTGGGATACTGAAGTAGCTGGATGAGACTGCTGTAGAAGACATAGATTAATTGGCCACAACATACTGTGTACCTGCCTTATGTTGTCCTGGAACTTTTTGTGTTCCAGAACACTTACCAGTTCTGTCCTTTGGGAAAGACATTACAAGTTTGCCAGCATTAAAGAGCTTGTACCTTTCTTAGTCAAAACAGAAAATTAACTGTCTGAGCTTTATCTCCCACTGTTTTGCAGTGTATTGTCATTGGTTAGTTCCATTTTACATACATGAATGTAACATGATGTTTCTTGATTCTTTTTTAGGAAGAGCTATATTTGAATAAAAATCACTTGAGGAGAACAGGGACCATGAGGAGCCATGACACAGGAATAATTTTCATGAGACAGGGTTACAGTTTGCATGTAGAGACTTGTATGAAAATATTGCGGGTTTGATCCCTGTATGAGTCATTCTCTTAGGAGTTGGCCTTGTGATCCTTGTGGGTCCCTTGCAACTCAGGATATTCTGAGAACTCTGTGTGTTCTCTATAGCAGAAACTTCTCTCTTCTGCTTCAGCATAAGCACTAACAGTACTTTCTCTCATCTCTAGTTTGAGGTTGAATACACTCAGTAGTGCAGGCATACCATTTTTGTTCTGAAACTAGAATATGGCAACACATGTCCTCAATTCTAAAACTACCTGGTTCTTCATCACGTACTTAATAGTGTATGAGAAAATATCTAGTTTGTCCTGCTTGGGAGGGGAAAAAAAACTTAAAAAGTATGTTTGAGGCAGGTGACTTCTGTGGAGATGCTTTTGGTATTATTGGAAAATAGAAAAAAAACCACCAACAAACATTTTTTTTCTTCCAAAAGGATCATCCATCATTATAAAGAAAGAAGGGTTGAACATTGCTAAGGTCCCTTTAAGCAGTGAATTAAACTTGTTTTCCTTTAGTATGTTTAGTGTCTTCTTGTTATTCAGGCTTACTAGCTTTTATGGAATTTTGCAGCATTCAAGTTGTAACTCTTAAACCAGAAAGTACTTCAAAGCAGTATTTTGGTGAAACTCTGTTCCTCAAAGAGATTTATTACACTCCTAGTGGCCTTTTTGTGGAGTCTGAGGTAGCATTTGCTGTCGTGCATGCTGGGTTAGGCTAACAGTAGTTTGACACAGGACAGCTTTGGTGTTAATTTTCTTTTCCATCAATAAGTGATTTAACTTCTGCAAGAAAGCTCAGTCAAGTTTAAAGATACCTTTATAGGAAATGGTGTTGCTCCCAGCTGTTTTTCATCATTTAATAAAATGTAGAAAGATTCTTACTGTTCTGCATTGTAGTTATTTTCAGGGGGAGAAGACTAGCAAGCATTTCCTGATGCTAAAAGTAACATTTCCTAAATGAAACTCACTTGTACATTTAAATAAAAAGGACAAAAGTGTGCTAGTTAGGTTGGAAAAATTACTTTGAGCATGCTTCAGGTTTTGAGATATCTTGTTAATACAAGACACTGATATGCACCCACGCCAGGAAGTCTTCTGCTAATATTGCTTTTTCAGACAAGGAGACAGTATTTCACATGTGGAATAAGGTGGTAAGATATGAAAAGCATCAGAGCTCCACTTAACATCCATTTATTCTCTGGGCTTTATTTAGGTATCACATGGAAGTAAAATGAGTAACTAAAAAGACTTTTTTTTTCTTGTTGGGGGGATTCACATATGAATTATAAGAAAAACAATTACAGACTATGTAGATTAGAGAGTCTTTGATGAAAAAGTATCTGTGTACTCCAAAGTCCTGCATAGGATGGTGTGAAATAGGAGAGCTATTTAACTTAGCTCCAAGAATTTTGACTTGATGTTTTTCAATCCTCTTAAATTATCAGGAGTTGAATATGTGTAGTGGCTGTCATCTCAAAAAACAACATCTGTAAGTTGGTTACAAGGCACTGGACAAATGCTTTATTGCTGTTTGAGCCAATCTTTTAAGTACTGTCCTGCAGGGAATGACATAAAATACAGGGTTAAGAAAAAATAATACTGATTTTCTTTATAGTGATGAGCATGAAATATGTTTTTTTAGGTGACACCATTTCCAAATACTGGATTTATCAATGGGTTCACATCTCCAACCTTCAAGCCTGCTGCTTCTCCATTGACAACACTCAGACAATATCCTCCCAGGAACAGGCAAGTTCAGCTATCTTTTAACAATATACAGCTGTTGTATTATCTGGCACGTGGGGTTTTCATCTGCTTATATTAGTAACACCAGCTACCTTGAGGTCACTTGTGAAACTGAAACTGGTGCAAGGTTAAGTGAGGCGAAAGGGCAGATGGTGCTCCTGTTGTTAATGAGGGTCCTGTTTCAAAATGTAAATGGACAGTCTGGAAACTGAGAACTTGTCTGTTCCATGATTTAGGGTATTCAGCTGAAATATTCTGAAAGATGACATGATCAGCAGGATTAGTCATGTAGTATTTTCCATTCCAAGTAGGTTTTAGGTAAAGGCTTAGTTGAAAATAGAGAGTGAAAAGGTTCATTTTGATAATTCACCTGACCTGTTAAAATGAATGTTGATCATTCTTATACATGAAATACGCAATAAAGGACTGAAGATCTTGCTTCTTCTGAATCCTGTGTACAGGCTTAGGCCTCAGAAGATCTCTCCTAGTATGTATGTTGAAATGACTTTTGAATTTATAGGAATCCTAGCAAGTCTCATATACGACATACAATACCCAGTGCAGAGAGGGGACCTGGGCTTCTAGACAGTCCTACAATATTCAACTTTTCTGCTGATCGTTTAATCAATGGCGTCAGGAGTCCACAGACGCGGCAGCCGGGACAAAGCAGGACACGGATGCAGAGTGCTACTACCAGTTACACCAAGAGGGAAGTAGGAACTGGGCGGATGGAACAGAGCAGCGTTGACTCGTCTCCTGGACTGGGGAGAGGAAGGTGAGTGCACTCTGTAGTTGTCCTCTGAACAGCCAAGTATTGCTGCTTTTAAACTACTCCGTTCAGTGCAGAGGTGTGGTGTTGTGACTGTTTTCAATACTGCTTTAAGATGAGATTGTCTCCTCAAAAATAAAATCTTGAAAAGTACTTCATAGGAAGCGTTAAATATAGAACAGGTGCAAAGTGGACTTGCATACTTTCCTACCAGATGAAAATCATTAATGGCAACTGATGAACAATGTACAGCCGTAAGATCTGATCCTCCCTCGTTTCTTCATCTGGTGTAAGAAAGTTTTTGTATATTATTTGCTTGACTTTAATGAGGAAGTTCTGCCCATTCCATTGTTCAGCAGTGCACCTGAACCTCTACTAGCAGTGCTGATTCCTAACTTTTTCAGTTGAAAGAATTTTGACCAAATTGGACATAGACAGAACAAAGATGATGGATTGGTGTGGAGCGAGGAAAAAGGGCTACATGCAACTAGGGAAACTATTGTTATGTAGTTTTAAAAAGCAAAGAAACAAAGAACAAAACCAGCTATCTGGGGAGCTGAAAATCAATGGTACCAATAATAATGTGAGAATTTAACAGGGTTATCTTGGAATCTTGTTAAATACAGTAGGGTTCTAATAAGTGCTTTATAAAAGCATTGTGCAGCTTTGATAATGGCTGTGTTTGTCTCTAAGTAAATCATATTTTGAGTGACTTACTGAATTGGAAGATAAGTTGAATGTTTTGCAGATGATCCTATTTTAGACTTGTATCATTGCAAAATTAAGTGGGGATTTTGTGCAAGTACTGTAATACTTTTCTAAATCTAATTTGCCAAATTGTGTTATAACTAATGGATGAAAGTATGATTAAGAACTTAGGAAACAAGATTACTCAAACTATAGACTACAAAAAATTTACAGGAGTAGTCAGTACTTAGGTTTATATTCTGATGTTTCAGTATTTAATACATTTAGAATAATAAAAGTCAAACAAAAAAATTAGAAAATATATTGAAACCAAATTAAAATGCATTGCAGATTTTAAACTCCTGCTTGGAGGGGCTTAACCTGAAACGGGTGGGGGAAAAGTGCTGAAAATGTTTTGGAGGAGCTTTACCTGAACTGAAAATAGTTAGCTATATTTGGAAGCTTACATTGGTATTAAAAAAAAAAAAATCCTAAAACTTTGGATATTGTAATGTTTTGTCTAACCCTTCTATGTAACCAGCACTGAGATGCTTTTAACACAGGAATTACTTGTAACCAGTATATTCTTATGCTGACTTGCATAAGATCTGTACCTTTATTTTAATGAGAGGTTGCTAGGAATTTTTCCTTAAAACATTTTTTAATAATGTTTTAAGGAAAATGGATGGAGAATGAAGATGGATAAAATAGCAATTTGAATTAATTTCACTTGGTTTCATTAACTGTTTTCCATCCGTTTTTAGGCAAGGTTTTGATTTCTGCTTTCTTTCCCTTAGGAAAAACTCATATGGCTACCGGAAGAAAAGGGAGGACAAGTTTACAGTGAGTGTTTGTGATCTTATTCATCTATAATAAATGTAGGGTAACAAGGCAAAAGTATGGATATTAGGTGGAGTAGGGGGTGACAAAGTTAAAATTACTCTTACAGTAGCAAAAAATTTCCGTCTTAGTGTTACTTTGTCAACTTGCCAGTGTTCACATTCAGGGTGAGCTAAACAGCTAAGCTCAAGTTCAAAACACTTAATACTTCATTATTATACGTTCATGTAGGTGTTAAAGGACATACATCCTGGTGTCATAATGTGTAGCAGAAATGTTAATTATGAAGTTGTTCTGTTTCTTAAATGCCTCTTCAAGAGCCACTTGGTAAGGGTATGCTGACACTACTGAACTATTGTGGTTTTGGTAAACCGAAATTCAAGGTTAATACCAAAATAGCCTTGATATTTGAAAAGGCTGCACTAGAATTCTGTAGAAGAGAATAAAATTTTTTTTATAGGATTTAAGGTTTGATGTGATAAAAGCAGTAATTTCTCTGCAATTCGTTTTTGCCACACTTGGCATGTTCATGAAGTTGAACCAGATTATTTCCTTATTCATGTTGCATTTGTAAAATAACATTACTGCATGAGCCATAACACTTCCCTACAGGTCTGGAATCATTGCATTTGTGTGTTTGTGGCTCCTGCTGTTGAGTAGCCTTAGTGAACTTAGATAAAGGAGCATGAAGGTTTAGCAAGTGATTCCTTCCCTTTGGTTGCTTTTAGTTCTTGTCAAACCTTCCCAAAGCCAGTGAGATCAGATTACATGTAGGATTCCCTGGACTTCTTTATTTTACCCTTTCAAAACCGCTTGAATTTTTAGATTGAGGTTTTCCTAATAACTTTTTTCTGTATTTGAAAGAACAAGGAAGTGGTACAGGTTAAGTGTGTGAGTGACTGGAGTTGAAGGATTACCTTGGACGCTCTTACTGAGCAGAGTGACACTTCTGAGTGAACTGACTGCAAAGGTTATTTTAACTGAGTGTCAAAACAGGAAATTGTGACTTCTTTGGAGGCCCACGGTTCTCTTCTCTCAGCACCAGGCTGTAATTGCAGCCTGTGCAGCCAGATTCCTTAGTCTCTTTTGGCTCAGGAATCTTCAGTGTCCTGTTCAGTGATGTACCTTGAGCAGAGGTGAGAGCTGCTGCACACACATGACTGTGTACAGTGGGAAGGAGCACACTCTGAAGCAAAAGATTAAAATATGACCCCTTTAGACTGTGGAAATAATTGAATCCAGCATCCTAGTTCTTGTGTGATGCTGTAGCCATTAGATAGTGTACACAGGACGTCACTAAAACCATTTGTATTTGAATGGAGTAATGACTTCTTTAGAAGATCTTTCTTTAAAAGGAAAAATTTAGAGAGTATGCATGTTTGCATGAAAAAGAGCATGGAACTGTTTGATCAGATTGTTTCTGAGGTTACAGTCATAAGCCAATTACTCAACTTGTAACAAATTAACATGAGAAATTTTAGGCAATTAGTTTAAAATTCATTCAACTCTTCCCTCATCCTGCTAATTTAAGATGCTAATGCTATTTGACTCTTAGTATGTTGGGGTTTTTAGGACTCAACTGTGTAACTTAGTGTTTGTAACATACAAGTTTCTATTGCAGAAGTACAGTCCACTTTAAGAAAAGCAAGTGCTATGATTTGAAGAATGATTCTTAAAAAAACCCAAGCTTTTCCTCTTGCAGTTTGAGCTGGATAAGTGTAGTCTCTCTCAGATGACCTGCCAAAGGTCACAGACTTCAATTTTGGAGGTGTGCAGTCTTGGTTGCTGTAGCACTCTTAGATCATGTCCTGGGGGTAATGCTGGGTCAGTAGCAGTCCTGGGAGTTGCAGTTGTTCTTGCTTCTGTATTTGTTATTTCCCCACCTCCCTCTTGACACACACTTCTTTTGACATAATTTGTAGTTTGTGAAAAGAACTCAAAGGTGGTCTTGTATCTGTTGCTCTTTTTGTCCAGAAGCATTGTTCTCCCATTCAGACCATCTTGACTATATACTCATATTTTCCTTTTCAAAATAGGAGCTGTTTCAAAGATTGCTTTGCATTTGGCATTTTGTGGCAGAGATCATCTTAGCACAGGCCTGAGCACAGTCAAGAAACAGTTACTTCTTTGTTTGCATGGTGCAGATGGAGTTAATTGGTAACTTCAGTTACAGCATATTACAAAAGGAATTTTATTTTTTCCGTGTAAATAGAATGTAGCTTTGTAAATCCTTACAAGCAGTCCTCTCAAGTGATCTTTAATTGTGATACTTGTAACTCCTTAACTGCTGTCTGTATTGCATAATGGTTGCATTTAGCCCACTGATCTTGTTTGGTTTTTTTTTTTGCCTGGGGCATTGTTTTTCTTCATAGGCTTAGTGATTTTTTAGTGAATTCTCTGTTTCAAAAATAGTTTTGACACTTATCTTTGCATTTTTACATAGTGACCATATAAGTTCATGGTAATTAGATGAAAATTGCTGTTGTCTGTACTACATGCAAGGCATGCTGTCTTGCCATTTCTTGATAAATCTGAAAATAAGATTCCTGTTGACTCCTGTCTTTTATTTAGAATGTTACCAACTACACATAAATGGGCTTCATATTTTCGCTATATCGTGACACCTAAACCAGTGCTTTCCTTTCTATGTCAGTGTGTCTGTCCTGAAGGAAGGGTCAGTGAGAAGATTTTTCTTACTATACCAATATCACTTATATAATAATTACATATATCAAGGGCAGCAGTGGAAAAGGAAAGCATCTTGGTACTGTGTAGTTTTCTTGGGAGTTCTCTAGGGCTTCCCTGTGCAAAATACAGTTTTGAGTTGCATGTCTTTTCTGTCATCTAGTGCAGTAACCTCCACATGTTATTTCTATTCCAGAGAGGCCAAACACAGTCTCCACCACCCGTAAAACCTCCATCTCCCAGCTTTGAATTGGGTTTATCTAGCTTTCCTCCATTACCCGGGGCTGCTGGCAATTTGAAGACCGAAGACCTATTTGAAAACCGACTGTCCAATGTGGTAATAGGAACATCAAAAGAAAGAGTGAGTAGTAGGTGTTCATTTTTGTTGGGAAACCAGAGAATTGCATACCTGTTGTTTTCAGATTTGGTGGGTTATGGGTGGAAATAACTTGTGAGTTTACGTGGGTTGTAAGGAATGCTTTTCAGCTGTCAAATGATGTGCTGCTGCCTTTTTCTCTTACATCTTAGAATTTCTTGCGTATTCTCTTTGGTGTGGAGTATGAGCACCAGTATAATAAGTAGATGTTAATAGCAGAGATTAGAAAATATGCTCTTTGCTGTTCTTAACTGCCTCTGGCTTTTTGATAGACTCAGGTGAAAAGTATGTGATACGTTTTCCTCCTGTTTGAAAGACTTCTAAGTTGTATATGAAACGCTTTAAAGTGACAGAGACAAACTTTTAAGCACCAAAATAATGAAGCTGCCTACATGATCTCAGTACACACGGCATCATAGCTGGAACAAGAACTGTTACCAAAACCAGCTGGATCCCAGCGTTGTCTTGTCATATTGCTCAGAAAGATAAAAATACACCAGGATAACTTGGCAACCACTGATTTATAGATGTAGTAGAGATGCAGTTGAAAATTAATGTTCAGTAGCTGTTCATAGATTTCATTCTTAGAACTGTTTCTGGCATGCCATCTGTGAGTGACAGTATGTTCTCCTCCAGAAGGACTCATATAGCCCTCTGCACTATGGAACACTCTAGGCTATGGAAGTCTATATTGGCTTTTGCTAGCCCTAATTTAACTTCTGTTTTTCTAGCGGTACCACAACTGAAGAAGTTAACCCCTGGATTAGCAATTCAAGTCAACCTGGTGAAACACCAAAATCTCTTATGTGTTGTCTCTAAAACCAGCCTGTTGCAGAAGTGTTTTCTTTGGTGCCCACATGTCAGTGGTGGATATGGGGTATTTTTTGGTCAAGGGAAGGGGAAGCAGCAGGGCAGCCTGCACCCAAAGCAGTGATTGTACATACAACTATCTGCTCTGCATCCTGCAAGTGGTAACAGGGGCAGCTATGTTCCAGGGTTGCTTTTAGAGGGAATGTGCAGTTCAGAGCCATGGTAAGAGCAGTTTAACTTACTGTCAGTACTACAGATTACAGGCTCTTTTTGGCCAAGACGTATCCATTTTTAAGGTATCATACCTCTATTAGTTGTGAAGTATTTTTTTACTATTGTATTTCATGTTTTAAATATAGTTCCAGCACTTGTTATTAGTCCTGCAGCTGAAAACGCCTTGTTTCCCCATTACAAATCTAATACTTGCTTTGTACTTATTGTAAAGAACTTACACTTCTCCCCTGTAGAGGCAGTTTTCCTATCGGTCAGGCACTGAAGTTTTGTGATAGTGCAATGCACTGACACGTTGAAAAGCTTCAGTTTTCAAGTTTATTTTTCCAGTTTACAGGAGTTATTCTGTACCATTGTACAGAGGAAAGGGATTATGCTGCCTTTCCTTGTTGGCATTTAAATAAAGAATAAGATAATGGCAACTGGCTCCAAAGAGCAATTGTTTTCTTTTACAAAGGTGTTTGAGCTAACATCAGAATCTTGCCAATGTATACAGTCTGCTTTTCACTTTGATCTCAATATTTTTTCATGTCACCTGATGTAGAGTTACAGAGCACTGAAGTAGAGTTACACAGTGCTTCTCTTGTTTTATACATGGGCAAGTTCAATGTACAGAAGCTGAGTGGGCTAAAGTCGTATAATTTTTAACAGTAGTTATCCAAGCATCATATCTTTATGCTCTCTGCTTTGTGGTGCTCTTCTAGGTGTAGCTCTGGGGAATGGCAGGTGGTAATGATCCCACATTTTGTAACTAGGAAATGCAGCACGTGAGATCAAGGGCTGTTTTGACAAGGAACAGCACTTGCATGTCTGCTTGGCTTGAAACTATTCACACTTAACTGTGTACCTGCAAGTTCTGATGCACTTGGGCCAGAATGCTCAGCAGCTTGCAACTTCAAGCCTTTGCACACACTGTTATAGTAAGTAAAACTATAGAAGCTGTTCTTTTATTTCTAAATATCCACCTTTTTACTGTCTTACTTTTGCTTTGAGTCAGACTAGGCTTAGATCTACTGCAATAATCTATCCTGCCTGATTTTAAAACAGTGATGTCAAATACCCTTTTCCTTTCTAACAGTGACCCCAAGAGTCTTAGGTTTATGCCCTTTGAACGGTGGCTGGGCTGGGGGGAAGGAATGACTGTCTTGTTCCTTCTGTGCTTGTGTTTTCCCATTGCTTTCCCTTCAGCATACCAGAATCTTTTCAGGTTTTAGACAGGTCACAAACAGTACAAAGAATGGAGCACCCTTTAAAACAAACAAAATGGTTTTAAATGTGAGAAATATTTTTCAGGATACAGAATTGTCTCTCTCTTTTCTTATTTTGTGCCAATTTAAATTCATTATATGCATCTTGAACCTATTTGGCCTTTTTCCAGAAGTACAGTTTGGCAGTGCACAAGTATCACTTGGCACTAGCAGAATCTTTTGAGGGCTATGGAAAAAGCCTCTTTTGCTTCGCAGCAAATTGTGCTATAGCATAAGAAAAGGATTTCTAAATGATGGTCAGATCCTAGTTTGCAGAAACTTTGGGTTTTTAAGGTTTGGGGTTATTTGCACCAGCTGTTGGGACGATGGAGAGTTAGAGCTTTGAAGAAGACAGTTCTTAGTGCATGGCTCTAGGAGACTTTTATCTTCATAGGTTGCCTGTGGTTACATGAACAGATGCAAAGCGTGCTTTTTTGTCACCAGCAGGTGCAAAATCTCCAGGCTGAAAGAAGTCACTGGTTCCAGTTGCTAGTGTTGTTCCCCAAGGCTCAATATTGGAGCCAGTCCAGTTTAATAACTTTAATGATGATCTGGACAAGGGGATTGAGGGCACCCTCAATTAGTTCACAGGTGACACCAAGTTGAGCAGGAGAGTTGATCTGCTAGAGGGCAGGAAGGCTCTGCAGAGTTATCTGGACAGGCTGGATCAATGGACCAGGGTATGAGGTTCAACGAGGTGAAGTGCTGGGTCCTCCACTTCTTTCAGAACAAACCCTGCAGTGCTACAGGCTGGGGGAAGAGTGTCTGAAAGTGGCCCTGTGGGACAGGACCTGGGTGTTCTGGTTGACAGCCAGTGGAATGGGAGCCAGTGCGTGCCCAGGTGGGCAAGAAGGCCAATGGTATCCTGGCCTGTACCAGGAATAGTGTGGCCAGGGCCAGGGCAGTGATTGTCCCCCTGTACTCAGCACTGGTGAGGCTGCATCTCAAATCCTGTGTTCAGTTTTGGGTCCCTCACTACAAGAAAGACATTGAGATGCTGGAACATGTCCAGGGAAGGGCTGCAAAGCTCATGAAGGGTCTGGAGAGTGAGTCATATGAGAAACAGCTGAGGGAGCTGGGGTTGTTTATCCTGGAGAAAAGGAGGCTCAGGGGAGTCCTTATTGCTCTCTACAACTCCCTGACAGGAGGTTGTAGCCAAGTGGGGCTTGGTCTCTTCTCCCAGGAAACCAGGGCCAGGACAAGAGGAAGTGGCCTCAAGCTGCACCAGGAGAAGTTCAGGATGAACATCAGGAAAAATTTCTTCACTGAAAGGGTAATTAAGCACTGGAACAGACTGCCTAGGGAAGTGGAGGTGTTCAGGGAACAACTGAATGTGGCACATGATGCCATGGTCTTAGCTGACAAGGTGATGATTGATCAAAGGTTGAATGCTGATCGTAGGAGGTCTTCTTCAACCTTAATGATTCTATGATTCTAACTAAGTTTGTCAGCCAGGTATGTCCCAAAGGGACCTAAGCTTACAACTTTTTTGGAAACAACTGCAGTGTGTTATTTATTTGTCTGTGTTTCTAAGTAAATGTAAAGGAAAAAATAACATACTTGTTATAATACATATATTGGCTCCTTCTGTACCTTCCTATAGTTAATTTATCTTTATAAATCAATTGTTAGGTGTTTCCTGGTTGTGCTAATTTTCAGGCAAACCATATTAATTGGATATTATGATTGTCCTTCTGTGCCTTTTTTCCTCCTTCAGAACATTAATGTGGATGCAAGTACAAACACTATTCCGTCAGGAATTCCTCGAGAGCCGTTGTTACCGGTCTCTTCTACATTGCCCAGGACCTTTGAAAGGTCTCCTTCGCCACCCCAGTCTTCTGAGTAAGCACTTAATTACATGGGTATAATTATTCTGCTCTGAATCACATTTGCGTTTCCTTTCATCAGGCGGAACAATGTAAATAGCTATTAAAATCTTAATCAGTGAAAGAAGTAATATTTTGTTGTGTATTGTACTTGTAGTAAAGGCAATAAAGTTTAATTTCTGAACAATATCATAACAGTGACTCAATATTCATTTAGCAGACCAAAGTTTAGTGTTGTGTTTTGGTTTCTGCAAGTATTTAGAAGTTTAACGAATACCTTACTGTCTTGTATTTAGCCAACTCTGAAGCATGGAGAGTAAACCCATGGTCCTGTGGGCAGTACTGATGTCCATACCGTAAAGAAAGTTTTTGTAACACTTTATTTGGAACCTGCAAATCAAATTGAGGTGTTTCAGTATCAGGGGAAAGATAACTGAATAACCAAATGCTATCAGAACATCACGAATTACAGGTAGTGTCAAGTTCCACGAGAATATACTTTTTAAAATTTGATAACATTTTAAAAAGCAATGCTAGTCATCATGTGCTAGGCAAATTATAGCTATAACTACTTATAGTCCTACTCAAACTTGTTAGACCTATTATTAGATCATTGATCTATCCTGAAGTTTCACTTTTCATGAACCTTGCTTCCTGCTAATGCTTACAGGGACCCCAAGGTTGTGGATAAACAGCAGAGAGAGACACAGAGTACAGAAAGACTTTCTTCTTCCTCACTCAGTACTGCATGTAAATCGGTACAAGTCAATGGGGCTGCCATAGTAAGTGACCTTATTACTTCACTTTTTCTTAAGGATACAGTTTGATGCATTTAACGGAGTATTTATTGCTACCCAGTGTTGCTTAATCATGTGAGTCCAGCAACCCTGAATTTGCCCAGCAGCTTTAAATTTGTGTGTTGATGGCTTCATGATCACTTACATGATATAATTATGCAATTAACAGTGCAAAAGATAGCTCCTTACCCAAATCCTCTCCTTGGTAGTATACTTGAGGTAGAAGCATTAGTGCACATGTTGATATTTAAACAAGAGTATTCATCATCTTTCAGCTGGTTTAGAGTTTGTTTTAATGGGAAGTATTTTGCCCTATGCCAGTACTCCATTTTTCTGGAACACTGTTTTGCATTTTACCTTGTCTTCTGATTGATTGTCTTATACAACTTCTGTAAACCTCATAGTCAAGCCCTCATCTGCATATTTTAGTGCAGCAGTCTTTGGGGACAAGGACTTTAGCTTTTTTTGTTCATAAAAGTAAATTAATTTTTTCTCAGGGTGCTTTGTTTAACTCTGTCCTGCTTCTGATTTCACAGGAACTGCGAAAACCTAGTTATGCGGAAATTTGCCAGAGAACAACTAAGGATCCTCCTACATTGCAACCCCAGAAAGAACAGAAGCCAAACACTGTAGCATGTGGGAAAGAAGAAAGAAAGCCCACAGAAACAATAGAGAAAAACAGAGAACCTCCTCCTGCAAAGTCACATCCTGGACAACCCAAAGACCAGAGGAGACAGTCAGGACGCAGATCGTCCCCTCCAGCCGTTGGCAAACGCTTAAATAAAGAACAGAGTACCCCTCCAAAATCTCCTCAGTGAAACTAACACCTGGGGGGGATTTGACAAGAGGTCTGCTTCCCACAAATTAAACCCATGTTCCCACTAAGATACCTGAGAATGAGTTGCTGGTTAGGAGCTTGCAGTGATACTGGGCATATAATAATGCCTGCAAGTTATTTTTCTGTGAAATACTTTTTCCCCTCTTGAACAAACATTCTATTTTTCTGGGTATTTCTGGATAGTTGTTCTAAACCTTACATTTAGATTGGTGCTTAATTGGAGGTGAAGCTTAGTGTGATTTTTTTTTTCCAAGGTGTAAAATATTTGTCTTTAAAAAAAAAAATCAACTTTTTATTAAGCCTCTCTGTGGCTGTGTGAGTGCAAGCTCTGTATAGTGAGTTTTTTCTAAACTGTTAAGCAGAAATGTGCTGCTGCAATATTTTTAATAAACAGGTCTGCAAGTACATATCTAAAGTGTCCAAAAGACTGATAACGGCAGCTAGTGTGTAGAGTGCAAGGAGGTAGAACATATTTTACAAATTAGTATGTGACCTTGAAGATTTTTTTTTTTATTGGGCTGCTGTACTAAGTGTCAGCAAATGAACTTGCACTTTTAGGTTAAATGAGTAGCTGTTTCTAGTATTTTTTAAAAAAATAATCTTTTTTTGATGTTTTGCACACACAAAATTAATTCTACGGGGCACCATAGCAGTCTTTCTAAAATATTTCCTTTTTTTGACTTACTGCAAGCAAGTAACCATCTTCTCACTCCAGAATAAAACTGATGTTATAATTTGCAAATACAAAGCACATTGTGAATAGAAAGAATCAAGTCTGTGAGCTTCTATGATGGTGAAGCCTGTTAGTGAGTGGATGTTATCAGGAGAAAGCAGTGTAGCCTTCTTGTGATAACTTTAGCTTCCCTGTGCTTGTAAGGGAGTTAACTGAGTCAGCGCTGTATATTCTGGTTACCCCTGTGCTCTGTGTAGACTTTTTTTTAAGCTCTGCCCCAAGTGCTCTTTGAAAGAGTTCATATCTTAGTCAGCCTTGTGTTGACATCTTCCTGTAACTACGAGCATTGGCATATGCATTTAAATTTTTCAAGACGTGAGATAGTGGTGTTTGTTTTGTGTGGTGGAGGAAGAGATCCCTGATATTTACCTCTGGGATGAGGTTTCTCACACTTATTTACTTTAGAAGTGATGCGCTTTCTGAAGGACAAGGATGCACTAAATTAGCAAGTTTCTAATAAAGTTGAATATAAATTATTTTTGTTTTAAGATGCCTAAAGTTTTTCTTTAAATGTTTAAATTGCAGGAAGTTCAGACAAAACTCATTCCTGCTGACTATGACAGTACAGTTTATTCCACAAAAATGTTTATTTAAACAACTGATTTTTTTAAAGAATTATTTCCATCCAATATTTAAAGACTTGAATTTTATTTAAACTTGAAAATGACTTTGCCTTAACTTTTGTACAAGACAGCTTAGAGTTAATGAGGTCTGACCCCGTGGAGGGTTAGCATGAATGGAATACAGAATTACTCAGTTACAGTATGTATCTATTGTCACTGGTCTTACTGGGTAAACATACTGTAGTACAGGAACTAGCAGCAGTTTTTGTAATATACCTTAAAGATCTTAAACAGTTGATCTTTTTCAGATTGTTGAAAAACCTGTAAATGCAAATAGTCAATACTGTATTAAATATGTGCACTTGGAAGTGTGTGCTTTGCTTGTACAGTTGTAAATAATCAGAACATATAAAAAGGTACCCTAAAGAAAAAAATCTGATAAAAATTATTGATATTATAAATGTTGCTGTTGAGCTGGATGTAGATAAACTAAATGTTGTGGTTTGAATATTACTTTAATTCGTTGTTTTTTCTTTTTCTTATTTTATTCTGGTGTGTTGAACTGACTCTGCCTCTTCACTGCAAAAGGGAAATGGAACGAAAGTCTTATTTGAAAGCCCTCAAATGTTTTCCCAAAGTCCCTCTAAAAACAAGCGATTTAACCAATTCAAAAGTGTTCTGCAATGTAAATAATGAGTTTCAGCAGTCAAACTGTAATTTTAAAGTCATTAATAAAAATCAAGTCTAATTGGGAAAAAACTTGACTGCTGCAAAAATATACACTGAAGCTTACTTGTGTGCTTTCAAGAGTATCAGTGCATGATTCACAGAACTGTAAAGTAACTATAGAAGTTGACTCCTGATAAATCTCCTATTACAAGCATCGATTGGTAACTAGTTGACATTTTAAAATCCAGCCTGTTGTATGCTGCAGAATTGGTCAAAACAGGGCATGCCGGAGTCTGTTGATTTTTTTTGTTTGTTTGTTTGTTTGTTTAAGAAGCGCACTTTGTGAATGCTGTGGGAGGAGATAAGACCCCGACAACATCACCAAAACTGCTCAACTAGTTCTGTCATTGGATTTATTGTTTTTAATACTCTTCTCCTTTCCCCAGCGGCAGTGAACACGGTAGCTAGATTTGTGTATGGTTTAGGCCAGCTGTATGATTCATTTTGTTTGTCTGCTGCAAGTGAAAGGCTTTCCAGCTGCAAACAATCGCGAGTGGTTCCTTACAGCGACTGTGTACGGCTCGTCATGATGCTCAGCTGGTACCCGAGGTGATATATTGAGACCAGCAGGGTGTGTTGTGCTGTTCTAATGTATTCTGCTGCCATTTGTGCTAGGTCAATACACTGTAATTACTGCTTACCCAGCAACAGTCTGTTGCACCAAAAGTTTAAACCTTCCTCTGACGTGGTTTTTATAGCTTTTTTAAAAAAAAAAAACAACAACAAGGTGACACGCCAAATCGCTGTGTAACATACCATAGAACTTCTCCTTACTGCATTTTACTTCAAGATTTTCTTTTTCTCCCTCCCCCCCCACTCAGTGACAAAATGGAGTTTTCGGAGTAGAGTTGTGAAGTTGCATGCAGACTGTTGCTACGATACAGAGAGAGATTAAAATGTGGCTTTTAAAATGAAAAACCTCCCAAAAGCAGTAGCTGAGTTAAAGGTTCAGGAATGCAGTAATGAAAATTGGCATTTTTACCTTGTAGGACTGTGTAGTGATGCTTTTCATTTTGAAAACGAGTCAAAATGGGATCTGAGACTCTCTTTCCAGGAATTTAAAAAAAATGAGGGTTGCTTTCAAAACCAAAGGTTGTTTCAGATCAGTCCCTCACCGTGACACTGTCACTCACAGCTTGCAAATCTGTGAACAGCGGCAATTTTTTTTACCTTGCTGCATTACCCTTCAAAGCCCTGAGCAGTTGGCATGGAAAAGGCCCTTGTTGGAACATGGTGCAGTGTATCACAAGCAACAGCTGACTGTAATGGTGCACACCTATCTCTGTATCTCCTTCAGTAGCTACAGGTAGGGACTTTTGTGCTTTGTAACCAATTACACTAATAGCAGCAGACAATCTGAGATTCCTAAGGAGACCTAACAGCTGCCAATTCATGAAACAGAAGTGTAATATGGGAGCCTTTTTGAGGGTTTTTGTTTTTGTTCTTCTTCCATTAAGACTGGAATCAAGCTTACATGTAAACTATCAGTAATTTAAGTTTCCTTTTGTGTCATAAAATGTAAAACTGTCTAATTTGAAAAAAAAAATATGTAGGTTATGAAAAATAAAGATTTAGGCACTGTTGAATTCCTGATTTTTTTAATTAAACCTTTCTTCAGCAGTATTTTTCATTACCTTTTGTCTTTTGCTCCCATTTTTGGAAATTGTATATTTCTAATTTTGGGAAAAAAAATGTTTGCTTGCTCTCCTGCTCAACACAACTGTTGTAACCATCACCTAAGGCTATGTAGCAGCAGCAGAAACCTCTATAACATATCTCTGAAAGCAACAATATCTGTCTCAATTAGGGAACTATGACTGGTTAACATTTTTAAAGCAAACAAAAAAAGCTTATGTGGTCTTTTGTTTACTTCACTCTTCAGCAGTGGTTTCATCAAATTATTAGATAAGGTGTTGGCTTGGTCTTAAATACGTATTTTAACATTTGGGTTGGTGCTTTGGTTTCATGGCTCTCAAATATGAAGATGTCGTGGACTTATTTTTGACTTTAGATGACTTCAGAGATTATTCTGGTCTTACCTCTAGGAAAGAAAAACTTCTGGGATATCTTCTCTCTACATAAAAAAAATATTTTGGTAATGCACCTTTTTTTTTTTTCTTTTAAGGTTTGTCTCTCATTCAACTGTATCTGAACAAGTTTAGCAATGGATGTAAGTGTGGAAGTATAAACAGTTACTGTGTTCTATAAGCATCTTGGGAAGTATTGCAGTATTATTCCTCAGGCTGGTTGTTCTGTAAGTTCCTGGACAGGTTAAGCTGCTTGTTGATTTACTTCCCTGCTGCTGTCTGTCAGCAGAGTAAGGCAATATGGGAATACCAATGTACACTGGGTACTGTGAGCTTCTCCATGTTAGGAAAGTCAGTTAAACTTTGGGATTTGGTGATGACCTGGACTACAGGTAGTTGAAGGCAACCAGTTTCCACTTCAGCATGGAGTATCCTGTTCTGCCCTTGGGACAAAGTTTTCTACCACTGTGTAAAAATGCATGGAAATAGGTCAGCAATGTTGCCATAAACCTAGTGTGGCTCTTGGGAAGCACCCCAGCTTTGACAGAAATTGGGGATTTATTTGTTCACACAGAAAACTGGGCAGTGTCCCCTTAGTGACAGTTTTCACCAGAACAAGGTGATGTTTGGTGATGGTTGCACCTGCATTCATGTTGAACACATGATTTCACTTCCTCTTGGGCATGATGAGAAAGAGTGAATATGGAAGATTACATGCAATTGAGCATCCAGAGATTACTTATTGTCACAGAAACTGCGATTCATTGCACTTTGATCCTAAGGCTTCTTTAGAAAAAAGATTTTATGAAGTTTTAAGTTTTCTAATATGCTTTTACTTCACAGACCTTTCAGTTAAAACCTCCTGGTATAGCTGGGCTTTTATGGGTGCAACTGAAGTCAGGAAGTGATTGAATTTCAAATTTTGCTGGTTTATAGATGAAAGTAACGTTACACACTTCATCTCTGCTTTTGAGAGAATAAGCTGTGTAACAACCAGTTGCCATCCCATTACTGCAGCATCCACTCTCAGCATGCATATAGATCCTGCTTATATTTCAATGCCCAATGTAAGCTGATCAGGTAGAAATTTAACTCCTATTGGAGTGGCACATGGAATACTGAGCTGTTATGCCAAATAAGCACAGAAATCCTGTAAAGAGGCTGGCCAGCCTCAACTGTGTCACGTCCATCCTGCCTGTCTGCTCCCTCACATCAGCACACTGGCTGGTCTAAAAAGTAACTGAGAAAGGATTTCTTGGAATAGGTCCCAAGCTGTTGTTGTACCATCAGCAGAATGAAGGAATGGACAGGAATGCACAACTGATGTCCACAGGAGACTGGCACTGGTCCTGGCAGGAGCAGTATTACAATCAGCTGAAGTAAACTCAGTGTTGGTACAATTGGCTTACAACAAAGGGAGGGTAAAAATCTTGGCTTAAGTGCAACCTTACTCACTCTGCTGAACGTGGCTCAACTCATCAAGCTTCATCATTTTTGAGCCTTATTTTCACAGTGGGGAGGAGAAAGAGTCCAATTTCTGCTTTACCCTACTTGGTTATTATGTACAAGCTGTAAATGTGCTAAATCTTAAATCTGTCTCATGGTCATAGACTATGAGGAGTCTGTGCATTGTCCCCTCACAACTCTTTTGGACACAGTTCACTGTTTTGCAAAAGGGATATGTGCTGGGGGGAGGGAGTCAAAGATAAAATCACTCCCTAATCTCTCTTAAATTCTCATCAGTTTTGAAAGAGTAAATTGCTTTGTGTGCTTGTGTTACGCACGTAAGGCGTGGAAACCATCCTGCAGTCTGATGGCTTCACATCCCATTTGCTGTAGGCAGGCGGCGTCTGCAGAGCAGTAAATCTACCGTGGCTAAGGATGCTCTGAGGAAGGAGAGATAAATGGAAGAATTTAGAGTTGTAAAACACACCAAAGCTGGATGGATCTAAGAAATCTACATGGATGGAATCAGTGGTACATAATGAAATGTGTCTAATGTCTTCCAAAACAAAGTCATATGTATGCCCTCCATACAGCTTGGGATGTCAACCCAGGTAGAACAAGTGAGTGAAATTCAGGAGCTCCAGCCTTTTGTTTCCAAGGCTGGGGGTGTTTTCCAGGAACCTACAGCTCATAGGCTGGAGCATGCATGAGAAACCTTTCTCATTTTGCTCATTTTCTCCAGCGTCAATGTACTTAGCTCAGGTTTGGGATGTCAGCAGAGCTGACTCTGCATGGCAGAGGTTTGAAGCCCCCACAAGCCAGCCCTGCGTGGGGGAGAGGGGAACTGAGTGCCTCTCCAACAGGAGGGTAACAGGATGCACTGTGGTGGGAACAAAGGTTTGGAGGTGGGCAATTAAATAGGCTCTGTGGGGGAGAAGGCCTGTTTCCTAAATGGAATTTCTTGAGCACCCGTGGTGTCTGTGGCCAGCCTGGTGTTACAGAGTCTCTTACTCAATGACGAATGCAATTTCTATCTTGTTCCCCTTTAGAAATGGGATGTGTAAAATTCAATCCTTTCCCTTCTCCTGGTATATTTTCCTCTTCCTTTCTAGTGATTCAGTGTTCTCATTCTTGAGAGCTGCATTGCTGGTAGATGGCAGCTGTTGATCTCCACTTCTAAGAATTGCACCTATTTTCAGAAATACAATAGGCTCGACATTTTGACTCATTTTAGTTTGCAGGAATTTTGTATTTTTGTCCCACTTATTAAAGCAAATTTGGCACTCAAAGGAGAATTATTTAGGTACGTGTCCAAAACTGTAATGTATACAATAAATTCAAAAGAGTATACTCTATCTGAATATTTATAGCTGTTGCTGGGTTTATGGTGTTTGTCAGATACTAAGTTCTTCGTTCTACGTTTGCTGGAGTCTGCGTGCTTCCTACATGCTGGCAAATGCTGGCTCCATCTTCTCTGGTATGACTCATACTGCTGCCAAGGGAAGATGCCTGCCTTGAAGCTATGGCAAATAAGTGCTGGAGAGACCTGTTGATTCGGACAGTAGACACTGAAATGACAGATTTGCTGGAGTGATTTTCTCAGCAGATTTTACTTCTTGGACTGGCAATTAAATGCTTCCTTGCTAGCAAATCCTGTTTCAGATAAACCTTTGTATTTTACTTTTTATTTGAACTAGTGCTTCCCATGGAGACAGAAGCTCAGCCATGCTGGCTACCATCCTGAGTGTTGAATGCATGCTTTCATCCCAGGCTAGGAAATCTGAGGGCAGCCACACTGGGTTGGATACATGGAAGTTATGTGCCAGGTTTAAAGTACATTGAACTTGAAAATAAAAAAAGGCAAGAGATGCTCTGTGGAATTGTGTTTTAGTTCCAACATGGAAAAGGGGTTATAGGTACCCTAAGTGATTCTGGAATGGGAAGGTAGGGAAGTACAACAGAGCTGGACTTAGCAAATCATGCAAACAGCGCACCACGTGCTTCAGTGTTCAGCCGTAGCAGGTGCTGCTGTCTCAGTGGTTCTGACATCCCAGGGCACAGCAGACATAAGCACTGATTTGGTGGGAAAAGTCACTACTTTTTTTCTACATTAAATGATGTAGAATTGCCTGAAATCAGGTGTACAATCCCCTTTTCCTGTGACTTAAAGCTGTAGTTTCTGTTGAGGGTTGCTGTTTTAATTGTAAGAGAGTGAGTTGCTGATGTTCATCTACTTTATTGCTGGCCATGGTATATCAAAGATTTGGCTTGTTGAGTGTTGCAGGCTTGGTGATCTCAGCAAGGCTGGAGAAATCTTACAAGGTTCCACAACGGGACATGCCCAGTTCTGCACCTGGTGAGGAATAACCCCACACACCCAGGGGTGACCAGCTGGAAAGCAGCTTTGTAGAAAAGGGCTTGGGGCATCTGGGTGGGCAACAAGTTGGGTGTGAGACAGCAATGTACAGAGTACACAAGACCAATGGCATCGTGGGCAGCCCTAGGAGGGGCATTGCCAGAAGACTGAGGGGAGGTGATCCTTCTTCTCTGCTCAGCACATCTGGGGTGCTGGGGCCAGTGTTGGACTCCCCTGTCCAAAAAAAGTCATGGACACATTGGAGTGAGTGCAGTGAAGGATGGTGAAGATGACTGAGGGATTTGGAGCATCTGTCATGCAAGAAGAGTGTGAGAGCTGGGCCTGTTTGACCTGGATAAGCAAAAGCTCGGGGAGATCTTGTCCATGTGTACAAATACCTGATGGGGAGCAAAAAGACAATGGTGACATATTCTTCCTAGTGGTGCCCAGTGACAGTTCAAGAAACAGTGGGCACAAACCAAAACAAGGAATTCTGTTCAGACAGAAGAAAGCCCTTTTGATTGTTCTAAGGGTAATCGAACACTAGTGCAGGTTGCCTAGAGAGGTCATCTCCATCCATGGAGATGCTCATTCTCACCAGACACAGCCTCACCTGATCCACAGCCACCTTCGGGTGTTTGGCAGCATTTCCAGGGACATCTGAATGTTTTCTGACTTGATTCAATTTCTCTAAGATCTGGTAATTTTAAAACTCCTGTGCATGAGGAAGAAAACAGCAGGCTGAGCCAGGTGATTG